CAACCGACGTGAACAATCGAATCTCCGCAAATAAGATCGCGGACGAAACCATAACGGCTCGGTTTCATATCCCATGAACCAGGATTTCGGTATTTTGTCTTCGTATAACTACTGCGTGTATCAAGTTGAGCGCGGGAAGGTGGTCGGCACGAGCGTCTAGCGTTGTACTACGTCCTGCCCTCGCAAGTACGACAGTGAGGAGTGGCATCGTCGAAACCGCTGGTGTTCTTGAGGTTGTCGAGTACCGACAGGCGGCGATCAACAATATATTAAAAACAAATATATTGGTCGTATTAAAATTGGCGGCTTCTAAAATCCCTGCAGAAAAACGATCTGCCCGTTTCCACTTGCACCATATTCAAATCTATTTTATTGCCGAGACAGCATATTCACTTTATCTTTGTATGGGCATTGAGACGCGCGAATATTAGTATTGGACCGAACCAAATATACCTGTCCCAGTGCATTCCGTAAATAAAGCTGCCGGCGACGAAGATGAGGCCGACGGACGTCCGCTGCGGCTGGAGCATGCGCTGGCTGCACATGCTTGGACTACTCTCGCTCTGTGTACATGTAGCCACGGCCTCGTCGCCCATGGCAACGACGATCGAGTACAGCTTTGACAAGGCCCGCGCCGGCGGTGTCCTCGGCTCGATCCACGTCGTGTACCCGACGCCGTCCTCGACCTTGGTCACGATCCTCGCCGACATTGACATGCGCGCGCTCAATATGACGCAAGTCCACGCCTTGCACCCGAGCTGCGGTCACCACATCAAAGAGTACAAGTGGTATCTCGTCGTGAACGAAATGGGCATGGTGCCCATCGTGGGCTTCCTCGACAAGTGCGACCACTTGGACTTCACGCGCGTCGTCGCGCCACCGACGGTACGTTTGCCATGGCATAGCGAGACACGTGGCGCTCATGGCATGCTGTCTTGTAGATTGCAAAGCTCTCGGCCCTCTTTGTCGACGACACGACGTGCACCAGGCCGACGAGCGTCGCGAAAGACCGCCTCATCGCCGCCCACGAGAGCCGCCACAATGTGAACTTGTCGCACCAACTCGGCCGACTCGTCGTCGAAGACGGACGCATCTCGCAAGCGTGGCACAATGTCTCGTTCCCCGCGTACGGCCACGTGACGCCGCGCTGGAGCATCGTGCTGCACGCTGTGTGCGGCGACTCGAGCCCGCCCGTTGTCTGCGCGCAGGTCGACTTTGAGCTCAAGGTGACCAACCGCGTCCAGGAAGCCCACGCGCTTCTCGGCATTGCGAGCTTTGTCGTCGCGTCGAGTCTCCTCCTCTTTTTAACTTAACCCTTCTCGCCCTCTTCACTTGCTGCACCGCGATACTCTGGTATATTGGGACCTTCGTCGCTAGCTACTCGTCGTTGTTCTCGAAGTAGCGCTGTACTCTGCACACAGCAGGTGGGATGACACGCGATCGGCCGTCACGCAAGCACTGACGACGCGCCACGCACATGTCGCAGTATCGAGCGCGACGCCATATAGTCGTGCGTCGCGTGGTGTGTCCAGCGCCCGCGAGAGCAAGCATCCTGTGTCGACATCCCAGAGACCCACTTCGTGCGCGCTAACGTGGCCGCACAGCACCGTCTCGGTCGCGTCCTACATGAGCCTTAGCAGCAGTACAGAGTGGTCAAGTGACGCACCACGGCGAGACGCGTCGCATGCGACTGCGCGGGCGTCAGCACGGCGTAGGTCAGCACGGGCGCACGCAGAGCGCGGAGGTCGTAGCGCTCGAGGCCACCGTCGCGCGCGCCGAGAATACACGACACGTCGTTGCCGAGGATCGCAACATCGCTGATCGACGCCGCGCGGGGCAGGCGCAGTTGCAAGCACACTGCGTGCGACCGAAGGTCCCTACGTCCACATGACTCGTTTCGATTCCCGAGCACTATGAGGTCGCTTGATGTACCAGAGCCAGGCGACGCCACTGCGCGTGCCGTTGAAGAGCACTTGGCCCTACGGGACGACTGAGGCACATGACGTGGCAGCAGGAGACGCTACGCAGCTCAGAAAGGCTTGTGCAAAGACATCGGACGCCACGTTGGACGACGGTCCTCGCACACGCTGGTTGTACTCCATGTCAAGTACCACGGCCCGCGACTTCCTATAGGACGATGCTCAGCCGTGTAGCCGACGTCGCAGTCTACTTGTGGGTGGCGCCGACGGCAATGTGCGTCGCCTTGTGGGGATGCCTACGCATGCGCGTCAGTGAGGCAACATGGTCAAATAGAGAGACATACCACGCAAGGCACCACGCGTCCTGAAGCGCTTGGTTCTAGAAGCATAAGAAGGAACATGCAGTACAAGTTGTCGTAGTACGTAGAGCAGCACGTTGTCGCGGTGGACGCGAAGAAACCCTGGACGATTCGCACCGCCGAGCGCCGTGTAGCCGAGCGCTGGCGTCGTTTGATAGGCTCGTTGCCACTGCAGACGTGTCATCTAATCATAAAGTCCGTGATGCTCACCAGCCATTAGCAGTGGTAGCATACTTGCAGCCCAGCGCCCGCCGCAATCTCGGCGCCGTTCTGGAGACCGACGTCGGTAAGCTCGCATACGGCAATGCTGCCGCTAGCATCTACAGCGCATGTTGTGGGCGCTTGCGATGTGCAAAGGGGATACCTGCAACGGCGAGCCTGCCATTGGCAAATGCCATGTCGATGGGGTTGTACACGGGCGACGGGAGCGACGTGATACGAGGCGTCTGCAGAAGGTACCAAAGTGATCAACCTTCACACAAGCGCCCAGTAGAGGTACCTTGCGCCACACAAGACGGGCGATATCGTAGTCGTGACGTGCCCACGGTGAGCGGACTTGGCGCATCGACAAGAGCGTGGTGACGTTGGACCGGCCGTCGAAGCGCCGCCTCGAGCTCGCGGTCGGCGTCGACACGACGAGCTTGTGTAAGCTAAGCGGCGCCTTTGTCGGCGCGTTGCCGCGAAAGTACTTTTTCTGCTCGGCGTCGTAGTAGAACCCTGCCATCGCTTTGGGCACTGGTGTTGGCTCGGACGCCAATTGTGGCTCGGGCGCCGGTGTGTTGTGGCTCGCTCGCTGGGCCTCGAGCGCTGCTAGGAAGGCTGCGCTTGGCTCACTCGTCGACGCTGCACGCTTGGCTGGCTTGCGCTTCTTCGTGGGCCGGCCATGGTCCCGACCCGCGTCGGTCTTCCTCGGCATGACGCTAGTCGGAATCGATTGGCTCGTTGGCTCTCTTGCACGCGTGTCTGATTGGTGGATCGATTCATGGCTCGATCAGATATTTGCTGACTTTGAGATGCCCCAGGATGCAAGCGCCGTACCTGGTACCGCCTGGGCGGCCGTTGCCTTCAGAGACAACCGTACAGAGCGCTCTGTCCAAGTGCACGTCGATGGACTATGTCCGTTGGCCGACCGTCAGCGCCGGATCGCAGCTTCCAGCAAACAACTGATCTTTTCTCTTGGCCGCGTTTGATTGGCGGATTGAAATCCAAACCGTTTGATTGGCCGAAAAGAAGGTTCAAACGCGATTTCGCCATGCTTCGACGCAGCTTGGCGCGCCTCCCGCTCCGGCGGCTCGTCCATCATGCTGCGACAACGACGCCCAAGAAGACGGTTGTCGTGGGCATGTCGGGCGGCGTCGACTCGTCCGTGACCGCGTACCTCCTGCACCAAGACAAATCGCTGCATGTGGTCGGCCTGTACATGAACAACTGGGACAGCTCGGACGAGGAGGGCAAGGCCACGTGCCCCGCCGATATGGACTACGAGCTCGTGCGCCAAGTGTGCGACGAGATCGGCATCGAGTGCGCGCGCGTCGACTTTGTCCAAGAGTACTGGAACAACGTGTTTGAGCCGTGCTTGGACCAGTACGCCAAGGTAGCCGCCGCCTCGCTTCCTGCTGCAAACCAGCCTGTCGTAGGGCTTGACGCCCAACCCTGACGTGCTCTGCAACCGGGAAATCAAGTTTGACGTCTTTGCCAAGCACGCACTCGCCCTCGGCGCCGACTACATTGCGACGGGGCACTACGCGCAGCTCAAGCGACTGCCCGACGGCACCAACGCGCTCTACGCGGCCGTCGACGGCAACAAGGACCAGAGCTACTTTCTCTCACACGTCACGGGCGCCCAGTTCCAGCGCGTATGACATCGACGCGTCCTGCATGTCGTCGGCTGATCGCTCCATTAGGTCATGTTCCCGCTCGGTGGTCTCTGCAAGCCGCGCGTCCGAGAGATCGCCGCCGAAGCGAACCTCTGCACGGCCGCCAAGAAGGACAGCGTGGGCATTTGCTTTATCGGGAAGCGCTCGTTTGGCTCATTCCTCTCGCAGTATGTACCGCCTCGCACAGGCTCGTTCGTCTCGGTATCCTGCTCGTGTTTTCATGCATCATGACTCATGAGGATGACGCACAGGTTGTCGACGAGCAGCAAATGCACGCCCATGACGGCTACAGCGCGTATACGATCGGACAAGGCGCCAAAGTCTCGGGGCTTCCCGCAAAATGGTACGCGTCCATCCATGGCTCGTGTATCATGGTATCAAGTCCATAGGTTTGTCGTGGGCAAGCGCGACGAAGATGCCGCAGTCTTCATCGCCCCCGGGACGCACCACCCGGCGCTCTTCTCGGACGAGGTGTTTGTCCGCGCGTCTGCCTTCAACTGGATCCAAGGCCACGCCCCGGTACCGTCCCAGACTCGAGGTCCTACCTGCATGTGTTGTCTGCTAGGCGGCGTTGACCAATGATGGCAGTCTGCGCTGCCAGTACCGAGCTCGGTATCGCCAACCATTGGCGCACTGCACCATTTCGATGGCGTCCATGGACGATGTCACGTCTGGTCTGAGCGTCTACCAGCCGACGGCGATCGCGCCGGCCGATGAACCGTATTTGCGCGTGCAGTTTGACGTGCCGCAGCGGGGTGTCGCGCCCGCGCAGTCGCTCGTTTTGTACGAAGACGACGGTCTTTGCTACGGCGGTGGTCCCATTCTCGGCGCAGGACCTTCGTACTGGGAGCAGCAAAAGCCGCTGCCGTCGCCCCTCTTTGACTGGAGCATGTAAGACAAATGCAATTCCTTTTCTTCGAGACAAGCTGTGGTTGGCGTCACTAGGTCAAATACGAGTGGACAATGAGGGCGAGCGCGTTCGGGCGGTTGGCAGCGCTTGGTGCCAAGCACTGACGAATAAAGTCCTACAAAATTCGCAAAATTCGCAAAAAAGTCAACCGCAACGCGAGACAAGGTCTACCTTGGCATCGTCGTGGATGTTGTCGGGGCGGGCCGGAAACGACAGCGTCGGACCCGCTTTGAGACCGTAGGACGAGAGAAGCATGCCGTACGCGACCTTGTCGGCCGGCACGAGGTCCAAGACGCCGTCACAGAACGGGTGCTGGCCATAGAGCATTTCGTAGAGGAGAATGCCGATCGCCCAAATGTCGGCGCACGCGTTCGTTGTGGTCTCGACGTTCGTGTCGCGCGACGGCGTCCAGTGCCGGAAGCTCTCGGGCGAGAGGTACATGACGCGGCGGCTCGGCATCGCGAGAAGGTCGCGGGACGTCACGTGGTAGACGGTGTCGCGTCGGTTCTGGATCGACTGGACGCTTGTGAGTCGCACGTCGAGATTGGGCGGCGACGCAATGAGCACGTGGCTCGGCCGAAGGTCGCAATGCGCCACTTTTTCCTAATTTCAACTTGATACATTCTTGATACGATCCGAAAGAGCGTACTTCGTCGTGAAGGAATTGAATGGCTTGGCAGAGACGGAAAATGATCTCACGCGCTTCAAAGGGCGCGAGCCGCCCGCCCGGCGCGGTCTAGAACACCGCCCTGGGACCATCCTGTCGAGACGAGATGGAAGCGACGTACGTAGAGAACGCTCTGCAGGTCGTGGTGCATGTGCTCGAGCGGGAAGAGGTAGACGGATTGGCCGTCGTGCGTGGGCACTGACACAATACCATCGCCCGGCAGCGTGGCCACGATGCTTGCAAAGCGCAGCGACTACGTGCCAGCGTTGATTCCGTCCATGGCCTGTCGACATGGCGTACCTTGAAGGCAGCATACTCGAGCCGCAAGAGGTCCAGGTTCAAAGACACTTTGAGCGTCACGAGCGACTTGGTGGACCTGTCGACGGCCTTCCAGAGTTCGACGCCGCACGTTGTTGCTGACGCCGTGCTCAGAAGCTCCATGAGCTCGTATCGGTCCAGCACAAACGGCATGCTTCGAAGCGGTGAACCTATCCGCGATGCATGCTTGCATCCAATACAAACGAGGACGCTGGATACGGTACATAGCTCGGCCTGGAACTGCTTGTTGCGATGGTTGTGAAGAAGCGTTCGGCGAACATGGTTCTACGTCGGATGAGCCCCGAAGGTACAGATCGCAAAATAGTACGTCGTAGGCGAAGCACGCCGCTTCGTACGACTCCATGGTTGTCTTGTCGTACGTGCGCGTCGGCTACGAGCCAAGACGGCGTCAATGGCGGCGGTGATAAGCATGCGAGTACCTGGGCGAAATTCTGCATGTAGCTTTTGAGCGTCTCGATGCGGGTGAGGTTGATGAGCGGGTTGCTGTCGACATGCATCGTGAGCGCCTCATACAAGTAATGCTGTACAAGGCCTACGCGCTCTCGCGGCGAAGCTCGTCGCGCGTGCGCTGGAGCGTCTCTTGGCGAGCGCGCTGGTCGTCGGTGAGCGGCCCTTGCATGGCCTCTTCTTTGTTTTCTCGGCAGAAAGATTTGCCTCCGGCTCGCAACGCGACGGGATTGGTTGAAAATATCGCAGGCGCATGCTGATTGGCCAAAAGCTTACTGGTCTGTGACTAGAAACACCAGCCTCTGCGAAGCATCGCGCTGCCGCATACGATACCATCAATAGCATGGGCCTGAAAGACGCACGTAATGCATAGATACTATAGCAACGGATGTATGTATACGCAAAAAGCATCAGAGTCCTCCATGTATTCTGCCGTATACGTATATGTGGTATCGGATGCAGAGTGGGTGTTTTTATCCAATTGGGAGGCTCCAGAAATGAGGTCCATCAGCCATCTCATTGGCCAAAAACACTTTATCGAATGATAGCGAGTGTTCATTGGACAATAAATGGATCCGGCGATGCCATTGGCTGAAATCTACCATTTGGACGAAGCAAGCCGAAGCAGCAACATGGGCCAAGGTGCGTCGCTTGTCAAGACGATCGTCGCCGACTCGCGCGAGCTCGTGCGCATGACCAACAAGGACGCGTACATGGCGCAGTACAAGGCCTACGCGGAGGCGACGGCCAAGCTCGATGCGGCCAAGAAGCAGAACGCGCTGCTGCAAGAACAGCTCGAGAAGACAAAGAACCATGCGTATGCGCAGTCGGAAGCATTCCAGAGGCAGAAGCTCGAGATGGACAAGCAAATCGACAAGTTTGTGAGTTTGCACTCGATCGGCCACGACGTGCGCGAGCGCCACGAGCAGATTCTGGACCAGATCAAGAAGACCACCAAGTAGACTAATAACACCGAATCACGCAGGGTGCTTGATGCAGCCTGTGTCCATGAGTGTGGCTTCTATCAGCATGTTGTATCATGATGTCTACTCTCCCAGCTACGCTACGCGACTACGGTGGTCCGCAATAACGGACTATCCACGGGTGCTCGACCACTTTGTCCAGAGCTAGGCGGTCGCCGGGTTCCTTGCGGAGGATTTTGCGCACGAGGTCGCACGCCAGCGTCGACAAGTGCGCGGGAAAGCGCAAGTCGATGCTCAGAATGCGGTTGTACGTCTCGGTATGTCCCTCGGCTTCGAACGGCGGGGTGCCCACGAGGAACTCGTACATGAGGATACCCAAGGTCCAGACATCGACCTACGCGAACCGTCAGCAACCAACGCCATCGTCATGCGGCAACGCTAAGGGCCAGACCATCTCGTTGTGTGGCTTGTGCTCGCACATCTCTGGCGCCAAGTAGTCGAGCGTTCCGCACATTGTATTGCGGCGTGACGTGGGCGCATGGACAGACCAGCCAAAGTCTGCCAGCTTGAGCTCGCCCTGTTTGGCAAGCGTTCGCATGAGACTACTCGAATGAGGTCGTAGCAGGACGTACGTTGTAGCCGATGAGGATGTTTTCGGGCTTGATATCGCGATGGATCACGTGTTTGCTGTGCATGAAGGCTAATGTGAGCGCGATCTCCCTCACGTAGCGTGCAGCGACGGCTTCGGAGAACGTGCCACGCTCGGTGAGCTCCTTGTAGAGCTCGCCGCGGGCAGCATACTCAATGATCAAGTAGATGCGCTTCTCGTCGTGGAAGAAACCATACAGGCGCAAAATGTTCTTGTGGCGGAGGTGCGATTGGATCTCGATCTCTCGCCGCAGCTGGTGCTCGACGTTGTTCTTGACGAGCTGTGCTTTCTGCAGGACCTTCAGCGCCACAATGTGTTCCGACTTGCGCTCGCGGGCAAGGTACACGGTGCCAAACTTGCCTCGTCCGAGCGGCTTGCCAATGTCAAAGTCCGTGAGCTTCCAGCCTTGGTGCATGTTGTTGCCCGATGGCATTGGCGCAGTGGTGAGCTTGTGCGTCTCCGAGATGCTCGAGAGCCCTGGCAGCGCACATGAGCTACACTGCAGGTCGATGGTCGATCCTTGCAGCACCTACCTGGCTTGACCGCCGGCTTGGCAGCGTTGGCTGTGTGCTGGCGGAACAGGCTGGCGCTCAGCGAGTTGGACATGGCCGAGCTTCCGATCCCAGCGCGGTCCGTCTTCTTGCTGCCGTCCTTGTCCCAGCCGGCGCGCGGCCGCACGAGCTCGGCCGTCTTGCTGCTGGCCATCTCCGCCAAAATACAAATCTTGCGATTTGAATATTCAAAAGGGTACCGCGGCATACAAACGCCAAGTGCATTGGCTAAAACCTCTCAAAAGCCATACACATTGAGTTCTATCCCGTGACATTCCTCGCAGCAAACTATCCTATACAAAGGTCGAGTGCAAATCGCGGCCAGTAATTCCAATTGAGTTTGCATCCTCTAAAAATAAATAAATCTCGGACTCGGAGATTGCAATCTTTCGCCGACGATGCTGCCAGGGTTTGCGCAGGACAGCCGCTGGCCGCCGCCGCCGATCCGCACCGCCGATGAACATGCCAAGGAGAACGATGCGTCGAGCGCTGGCCTACATCGACCGGCTCAAGGCATTAGCCCTGCCGTAAAGGCCCCGCTGCGGCCACCTGCCATGGCACCGCTGTGCAGCAACGAGACGTCGCGCCCACCGCTCCGCGAGCTCTCGGACCCAGCGCAGTCGCCTCGAGACCACATCGCCTGGCCGGCAAAGAGCCACGTGTGGAAACTTGTAGACTTTGACATTGGGCGGCCTTTGGGCAGCGGCAAGTTTGGCACCGTGTACCTCGCGCGGGAGAAGCAGTCCAAGTACGTTGTCGCGCTCAAGGTGCTGCAGAAGAAGCAGCTCGTCAAGGCGCGTGTCGAGTACCAGCTGCGGCGAGAGATCGAGATCCAATCGCATCTGCATCACAAGCACATTTTGCGGCTCTATGGCTACTTTTACGACGAGAAGCGCGTCTACTTGATCATCGAGTATGCGTCGGAAGGCGAGCTCTACAAGAAGCTCACGGACCAAGGCCGGTTCGACGAGCCGACGAGCGCCAAGTACATCTACCAAGTCGCGCTTGCTCTGCAGATGATGCACCGCAAGCACATCATCCATCGCGACCTCAAGCCCGAAAACATCCTCGTCGACCACAACGTACACCCGCGCCTCTCGTCGCACTACGCTATAGCCACACGATACGATGACTAGGGCGACCTCAAGCTCGCGGACTTTGGCTGGTCCGTCCACGCGGTCGCGTCACGACGCCGAACCCTCTGTGGCACGCTCGACTACCTCGCGCCCGAGATGGTTCAGCACCTCCCGCACGACGCCGCCGTCGACATTTGGACTCTGGGCGTCCTCATGTACGAGTGCCTCGTGGGGCAGCCGCCGTTCGAAGCCGACGGGACCTCGGCCACGTACGAGCGCATCCTCCGCGTCGACTTGCACTTCCCCGACCACGTCTCACGAGCTGCGCAAGATCTGCTGTCCCAGATTCTCCGAAAGAACCCGGACCAGCGCCCGTCCCTCGAGGTTATCTTGGCGCATCCGTGGATAGCGACCCGGCACACATAGACTGTCCGTATGTACACTAGTAGAATGACTTGACCACGATAGTATCAACTTGATACTCTGTACATGGTCCCTGGACAAAGCGCGTCATCAAAGGCGACTCGACAAACCGCAGCTCAGTGAACCAACCACGGCTCTCTACCGACATTAGGATGTTGCTGGGTTTGGATCACGCCAACTGGCGTATGTACTTGCATAGACAAGATTGACCACAAATATATATAAATGTTGCGTGTCTATACAGTGGACGGCCCCTCGAGCTGGACGCGCACCGTCGCTTGCATCTGCGTCACCAGCGCGTCGAACGACGCTGTCGTCCAAGCGGCCACATGCGTAAGCAACGGCAATGCCGCCTCTTGCGCGTCCATGTCGGCGCGCCACGTGTGGACCCACGCCACAAGCCGCTGCAGCTCGAACGACGTTGACGCCGCCGCCACCTCAAACTGCAATTCGAGCGCCGGACGCAAGTGCTCCGAGTAAAGTGCGGCGACCTTGCGTGCGCTATACGCCTCGATCGCACCCAAAAGCCCATAGACCTAATACAACGCGTTTAGGGTTGCAAAAGCAAGCAGTAGGCATCGTACGCAAAAGCCAAAGCTGAGCCACCACACGAGTGTGAGCGCGGCTTCGACGAGCAGCGAGCGCAGTGTCGGCGTCGCAGCAGTCACTGGCATGGACGTCGTCGGCCGAACGTCGGCAGGTGGTGGCGCCACCGCCGTCGATGGCACACGCCCGACGAGACGTCCATGAGAAACATGGTACTTCTTGGATGGCGTTAGCTTTGGCGTCTTTGGATCGTAGCGGGGTTCGGCGACAGGACCAAGTGTTGAGCGACGATGGTGGGTCGTTGGTGACGTCTTTGGTTCTTGCAATGGCTGGTTCGTCACCGGCGCTGGCATTTCACTCAGTGACGCGTCGCTGCTGCGGGATGACGTGCCCGACCCGACCCGACGTCGCTGCCGCAGCGGAATCTCGGTCGACGACGTGCGGGGCTTTGTGACATGCGTGACCACTGGCGTCGAGTTGTTGATTGTGCAAAGTGACAGCGGCTCCATCGCCCACTCGGCTTCGTGAAGCACCGAGGAGTTGATGGCGTCCGTGGCCACTCGCAGTGGTACCTCCATCGCGCTTGGCCGTCGTACTGCTAGTACATCGACCTCGGAGTTCGCTGGGTGGGTCACCCGAGGTTGGTGTCGCAGACTAGCTGTCGTCGGCGGGGACGAGGTCTCTGTCAGCCGGGGCGAGGACTCTGGCGCACCAAGAGGCCGTGGCGCCGGCGTTGGCACAACGACCGTGGTTGGTGTCTCCACCGACACGTTCACTGGCGACTCGAGTGGCTGCGAAGGACGGAGCGACCGTGGTGACGGTGGGCGAAGCTCGTTGTCTGTCGGCTGGACCCATTCGGCGCGGAGCAGACGCAGCGCCTCGTCGTCATCGTCGTCATCGTCACGAAGGTGACTGCCAATGCTTTGGACGCTGCAGTCAAAGTCGTCTGCCCAGTTGGCTTCCTTGGGCGACAGCGTACTCACGCTCCAGCTCGGACCAAAGAGCTGTTCGCGGGCGTTTCCAGCTCCGAGAGACGACTCAAAAGACATGCTCGAGTCCGGCTCCGAGTCGAACGACGGGCGTCGCGGTGCCCAGAGCTCTTGCAAGAGAGCTGACGCAGGGCGTTCTTCCAGTACTGCGTCCGTCCGCGGTGCCACTGGCGGAACGATCTCAACCACCGGTGCAGCCGCGACCATCTCCTTGGGCTTGGTCAATGACGGTGGTGGTGAGAGCGTAAACACAGTCGTTCGTTGCGGTCGAAGCGATGGCTTGCTCGTTGGGACGCGCGGGTCGCGGGTGGGTGTCACGTCCTCGGGCATCGGTGACGCCAGTTGACCAGGTGTACCAGTGACCGCGACGGCAGCCGGCATCGACAGCGTCGTCTGCTGCAAAGGTGACGGAGCCAGCGCAGACACCGTACGTGTAGTGGCGTTGGCGATATGGGTCTCTGTTGTTCGCGGCGGCGCGGACTTCACGACTGGCGTCGCAGTTGGTGTTGCGGGTGGTGGCGCAAGTAGTGTCGGTGATGGCGACGACGGCAGGCCTTGTACCTGGAGCTTGAGACGAGAGGACGGGCGTGGGATGAGCGACGGCGACGGTGGCTTGATCTCAGGGATGCTACGCGCCGGCAGCGGGGCGCCCACGGGCAACACACTGTGCGGTGCTAACGACGGCTTGAGAGGTGTCGACGACGCGCTTGGCGGTTCGTCGCCTTCCGTGATCGCCGAGAGATGGTCTGGGAGACTCACAAACGAGAGTTCCAAGTTGAGCTCCAGTGGCTTTGCAGCATTGCGCAGCGTCACGAGCGACATGTCGCGCGACGGCAGTACCGGTCGCGGGCGGAGACTACGCCGGCGCAAGACACTGTCGTCCGACTCATGGTCTTCGTCGTCGAGCTCGAGAATTGGCGATAAAATGATATCGTCATCGTCGTCGTCGTCGTCTTCGGACGGCGACTCGAGGCACGCCGGCGGTTGCGCCAGCATCGAGTCGGGAAACTCATCCGCAATGCACGCAAGGAGCTCGGGCGGCAGTTGCTCGAGGAGGAAGCGGATGTTCTCTTGCCTACACTGTCCTCATTAGTAGGGTACTAGTGCCTATAATGATCGTACCCATATTCACAGAGAAGGCAGAGCGAGAGACGGGCTTGGGACTGCACGGCGGCGTCGTCGTCAAAGAGACTCTGTAAGATCACACGCCGCATCGCCATGTAGTTGGACCGCTCGAGGACTTCATACGGCGGCCAAAAGCGCAGGACAAGCACGATGAGCGAGACGCAGAGCATGCGCTTGTCGCCGTCTAGTGCTTCCTGATGAGCTCGTGGAGCGAACGCAGCGAGGTACATACCGTCTTTGGCCTGTTTGTAGGCGCGCTCGAGCAGCGCCACGGGGTACCGTGTCGCCTTGGTAAGGCTGTGCAAGCACTGGCGCGCCGAGAGCGCGATGACTTGGGTCTGCTTCTTCTTTGTCGCGAGGTGGAACACGGCGAGGAGGAGCGCCTCGGACAGCGGTCGCAGCGGCGGGCCACACAGCCAAGCGAGCGACGAGACGAGACTGCACGCTTGCTTGGCCACGGCCGGTCGACAGTCGGCAAGCGTATGCAGAAATCCATTCTAGAGTGACAACAGAAAAGTGAGAGCTGGCAACCGAGACGAAGGCGCGTACGACAAGAACGAGCAGATGGCCCACGATCGGCGTCGCGTTAAAGTTGGCGCCATCGCGATCGCCGTCGGTCGTGGCCATGCCCATCACGGCGGTCTCGAGCTGCTTCATGGCCGTAACACGGCTTACCCACGCCGCCTCCGGGTTGCTTAGTATCTCCTCGCAGAACTCGATCTACATGCATGTACATGGTCTAGCCTTGGCATCATCCATCGCACGATGCAGCATACCTTTTGCCGCAGCGACTCCATGCGCCTCTCGGCGTCGGCGACCATAAGATCTCTTCCCCTTCCGTCTATCCCTCGAGTCGGTCGTTGTCTCGCAATGGTTTCGACAGCCTCCGGATAAGTGTATATATCCGGATGAAAGTGGAGGTAAAACCGGTTTGTCCCAGGGTTTGTCCCAGTGATCCAATCCGGAAATCCAGGGACGAATTCCGGATACGCTCGGGTATTTTAAAAATCAAACCGCAGCATGGCCTGTGCCAACCCAGCGAACGAGGCGCTTGCCGCAGCGCTCGAGAAGATCCTCGAGGCCGAGGCGGTCAAGGCGGCGACGAGTACGCGCAACACGGGCAACCAAAACCACGTTGTCTCCAACTACAAGCGCGCGTTGTACTCGATCCGCCACTGTGCCCACGTGATCCAGACTGGCGACGAGGCCAAGGCCCTCAAGGGCATTGGCAACTTCATTGGCCAGAAGATCCAGGGTATCCTCACTCGACTAGCAAGCGGCAATGGACGCGTGCACGAGGCCGACGCTCCACGGCCAAAGAAGCACAAGGCGACAGTCCCGGACGAGCCGCCTGTCCCGGTCGTCGCGCCGCGTGAGCGCGCCGCGCCGACGGAGCCAGCGCCCAAGTACAGGCCTGCGCGAGGGAAACGTACGATCTCGCTGCACCCAGCATGTATTCATACGCCCACGCTACCTCGTAGAGCCATGGTACATTCTCGTGGCGCTGGCCGAGCTTGAGGCAACGTGCGAAGCGCTGAGTGTGGACACGGAGGCCGTCATCGCGCGCATGCAAGCTCTCGGGGTAGGTCGCTACCGCATCCTTGACGATCCCTCACGCGTGCATTGCGTAGTTTACCAGCGACCAAGGGCAGCTGCGCGCGAGTCTCGTCGCCCTTGTCAGTACCCACAAGGTTGTTGCCAGGTCGTCGCTCTACGGGCACCTCTTCTTGACATCGGACGGTCCGCTTCACACAACCAGCCTCTATACAACCTCGAGCTATTGTAGGGATCCAGAGCGCCCAGTACTGCCAACGCAGCGACGCCGCCGCCCAAGCAGCCGAGCCCGGCCCGGTCGCCCGGCGACCGCCCATGGAAGCCCCTGCGATCACGACAGCCTCGACGGACGCGCCGACAGAATCGTTTGACTGGGCGTCGACCAATCTGTCTAAATTTGAGCCCAAGGAGGCGCCGCTGGCGCACACGCAAGACGAATGGGAGGTTGTGCTGCTCCTCGACCACCGCGAGGTGTGCACCGATATGTCCGAGTGAGTGCTGACAGAGGATGCTCGCAGATGGTGTCCCGAAGCAACCCGTCGGTGTTTGAGCGCAAGCTGCTCGAGGCCGGCGTCACGTGCGAAGTCCGAGGTCTCCACCTCGGCGATATGATTTGGATTGCGCGCCGCCACCGCCCTACGTTTGGTACATTTTTGTTTGCCGAAGGTACTGCAACCTTGGCTGCAGGTGGCCGCCCCATCACGGAAGAGTTTGTCCTCGATGTTGTCGTCGAGCGCAAGGCCGTCACAGACCTCGCCATGAGTATCATCGACAAGCGCTACACGGAGCAAAAGCAGCGGCTCGCTGACACCGGGCTGCGCTACGTGGTGTACCTTCTCGAAGGCTCGCTCGCCGTCGAGACGATCGTAAGCGCCACCGCCCTCGCGACCGCCCTCACCCGCACACAGGTACGACACGTTGACGGCTTCGCCTCGGCTCATGACCCGTCCTAGGTGCTCAACAACTACCTCGTGCACCACGCTGCGTCACCGGACGAGACGGTCGCGTTCTTATCGGCACTGCACTGGCACACAGTGCGTGAGCTTAGCACTGTGTACAAGGTTCGAAACGCCGCGCCGCCAGCCGCCGCGTCGGTCGGCCGCCCGCCCGCGTCGCTGCGCAACTTTACGTAGTATCAACTTGATACAAAGTGTCGAATGACGCGCGGGTGTAGGCAACTCATTCCGACGAATTGGCAGTCGTTTGGCGCGTTCAACGAGACGTTCCGGAAGAAGGCGGCGCCGACGACCGGCGAGCTGTACCAGATGATGCTCATGCAGGTGCCTGGCATTAGCGCCGGCCGCGCGCGCGAGCTTGGCGCGGCCCACCCGACGTTTCTGAGGTACTTTCAACTTGATACCTTGAAAGTACATTTTCAATCGGTACTGTAGTTTGTGGCAAGAGACGCAAAAGGCGGCGCCACAGCTGCCGTCGCGCATCAGCGCCACCGGTCGCGCGATTGTCACCAACCTCTTCCGCGCCAAAGACTATGTGTAACCCTAACCTCGTCGAATATTATTAGCTCCACACATCTAGTTGCCACGCTGGATCTCCAGCGACCTCTGGTAGGCCAGAATGGCCTTGTCGTGGTCGCCCTTTTCAAAGAGGATCTTGCCGAGCAGCGTCGAGTTGGCGGCCGACGGGACCAGATCCAGCGACCGCTCGAGAGCGAGCACTGCGCGGTCGAGGTCCTCGTCCGCATAATACGCTTTCCCGAGGTACGAATAGAGGAGCGGGTCCTGCGGCAGCAGCTCCACCGCTCGCTCAAAGGCGGCCACCGCGCCGCTCGCCGACCCTTTTTGCAGCATCGCAATCCCGAGCGTCACGAGGGTGTCGACTTCCTGAATGTCTTCTTCGTGCGCCGCGTCGTCGTCGTCGGTGACGCGCGGAATGTCATCGTCGACGAGGTCGTGCACCGACATGTTGTCTTCTTCTTCTTGGTCATTGTCGTCGAATCGGACGGCAGACGACTCGGGGCTCTCCGAGATGTTGGCCAAGTTGGCCACCGGTGTTGTCGGCTTGAGATACTTGGCGACAAACGTTTCCCGATCGTCCAAGCTGTACGCGGTATCGCGCTACAGACGGTAGTCATCAAGGGACGCCATTCAACAGGACGACATACGAATTCAAAATACGTGTCACGCGTGTCATGGTCCGTCAGCGACGTCTCCCGAATGTCATACGTGTACGTCTCGGACGTGTCTACAACAACGTGTCATGATGACATCTCACGAAAGCTGTGTCTACCAGAGTAGGTGGTCGAGAGCGGCGGCTCCATGTGCGCGACGGGCGAGAGAGGCGGCGGCGTCGCGGGTGCCGTCGTCACGGGCTGCGGCGTGAGCCCCAGCATGGACGGATCCCGTGTGATCGAGAGCCCGAGGTCCTGCGCGCGCGAGAAGCTCGAGTCTTCTGTATTCCGCGCACTCGCCGACTCGGAGAGGCTCGTGTGTCGCAGGAGGAGGGCCTCGGCCTGCTGCTTCTCTTCCATGAGCTTGGACACTTGTTGCTGGAGCAGCATGACTTGCATGTTCATGTCCTCGAGCATCGTGTCCTTGTCCGCGTAGTTGCTTGGCGCTTGCAGCATCTGCGGGTACATGTGCGGGGACATGTCGTCCGAGCGCGACGACGACGCGCTGTACGTGCGGTGCGGCGGTGGCGGCGGCGGCGGCACATACCCGCGCGACGAGCTGCCCGACATGCTACCCGTTGACTGCGTGCGCGTCATCGTACCGGGCAAATTTGCGCGCTGCGAGTATAGAGGCGCACCCCGCGCGCTGGCGACCACGTGCTGCGTGTCGAGCATTGGGGCTTCGACCCGCGTGAGCGCGTCATGGCAGAGGACGCAGACGCGCTGGCGCGATGTCAAGCCAAAGTGCGGCAACTTGAGCTTTTGCTTGGCCGAGTGGTCGGTGCAGATCGACTGTCCGCAGTTGCGGCAGTGGTGGCGCTTCTTGAATGTGCCAAACTTGCACGAGCAAATGTGGCAGTTGGGCGCATTCTGCCACCTACCACAAGGACACCACGTGAGTCGCCGAGACGCTATGGAGATGCGTGCGTACCGAGGCGGGAGCGAGACGACGAGGCGGTTCGAGTACCGACGCGCTTGCGGATCGAGCAGATACGGTTGCTCTTCGACTTCCATGGGGATCTGCATGTTCATGGGCATGTGCTACGGAAGAGGTCAGCGATCGAACGTGGTGCGTTCAGCAGCGAACGTTTTCCGAGAGCGAATCGTTGTAGCTGCGCTGCGAGCCGTAGCTGGACGACGCCGTGTTGCGGAAGGCGGGCGCCGAGTGCGACGCCGGGCGTTGCAGCCCGTTGCTGTACTTGCGCGGCATCGCATGGTCGTCGTCGAGCACGTTGTCTATGACGAAGTGTGAGTGACGCTGGCAACAAAGACATGTGGTACTACCATCGCCGGGCTCGCTGGACTGCGACCCGAGGCGCTCGGGGAAGCTCTCGCGGGACCCGTGCATCTTTTGCACGTGGTCGCGCATCTCTTCGAGGAGGTGGATCGTGCGTGGCGGCAGCCGCGACTTCTTCGCGAGCGACAAGACGTCTTCGTTGACGGGCGTCTTGACGAGGACAGCCTCGGGGTAATTGGCGAGGAGCGCCTGGAGCCACTCGACGTTGGCCTGCGCCTTGATTGCAATGTGCAATGGTAGCATCTTGCCCGAGTTGAAGACGCGCGCGCCCTGCGGGTACGCCTTGAGGAGCAGCATGAGCAGCTCCTGCGGCGTATGGCTGTCGGTGCAAGCCCAATGCAGCGGGATCATGCCATAGCGGTCGCGGTCCTGCGCGGCCGCGGGATCGCGCTCGACGAGCACACGCAGCTCGGCCCACTTGCAGCTCTCGGCCAGGCGGATGGCCTCGCTCTTCTTCGGCGCCGCCATCTTGTCGTCGAATGCTGGACTGTTCCAGCTGCCAGTCGTAGTACCGACGCCGTGACAGACGCCGATACAAATTTCAAGTCCAGGCTGTTATCCGGACGTCCGCGTGTCAAATGCGTCTGACGTACGCACGTGAAAAACACGTGCACGCGCCTTTCGCATACAAAACGAGCGTTCTCCACGGGACGTGAAAAATACAACGTGTAACACACGTCGTATCCGGATCCGACCTGGCCCGTCCATACAAATCGCAAAGCAATGCCGCCGGCTTGGTCCCCCGTGTCCCGAGTCCGGATGTTAATCCGGATGTTAGCCCGTGGGAAACTCTAGGACGCGTGGCACGCTCTGCGCACAGCGCCAGCGCGGGTCGCCCATCGAATGCGACGTACAACTCGGAGCTTTTGCCCATCGCCGCGGCGCTTGACGGCGCTTGCCGTCAAGAACTGACACCAGTCTCATCGATAGCTCCACATATCACGACCGCAAGGTGATACACATGCCCACCTGATTCGGGGTTGCCTGATTCACGTTGACAGCGTCCGACCAGGGACGGCGTCAGTGTCTATACTAATGCAGATACTAATGAGAGTGTTTACTGAATGGTCCTGCAGGCGACGACTCGACGTCGCTAGCGGGATCGAAGACGGTGGCAACGGGCTCCGAGCGTGCCCGCTAAGAACTGAGATAAGCCGTTGGTATCCGGATACCGCGCAGGAAGACTCACTATACTTGCAGGCCAAGATGGCCAAGATGGCGGGGTTTCCCACACGATGTGTGTGTGGCTTTTCGGATAACTGGCCTTTCACACGCGTGTGCGTGTGATTTACACGGATCCATTTTTCGAATTCAACTTTTGGACGGCCAGTTCGCGTCCGTCCATGATGAGGCAGTGGCTAGCGGTCGCGCTCGCGTCCGCAGCGATAGCGGACCTGCCTCCGGGAGCGCTGGCACTGTCGCCGCCGGTCCCGCTACTCCTCCCCGTCTACATCGGTGACGCTCCGCTGGTCGTCCCACTGCCGCTGCCATTGATCGTTGAAGACAACCGAGACGCACTGCAGCAGCACTTGGCCGACTTTTGCGCTGCGCACGGCCTGCCAAGCACGCGCTGCAAGGTCGTGTTCGAGGCGCTCACGACGGCTGCGTGGGCCACGGATGAGAAGGCCGTCTTCCTCGTCGTCAACGACCTCCTATGGCAGTGGGTCGACATGCCGGCAGAGAGTCTCGCCAGTCGTATCTGCCACTACGTCGCGGTCCAAGCCAACCACCCGCACATGCTCGATCCGTCCATGTGCCTCACGACGCTCGAGCTTGCCTTTGCGCGCACAGAAGCCTGGAAGCGTATGCGCAAGGCCGGTCTGTCCATGACCTACTCACCGACTCCGACCAACAACATTTCCGACCCATCGGCGCCGAGCGTCGAGAATGTCGCCATGGTCATCAAAGAGATCGACAGCGCCGACCTCCTCGACACAACGACCGACCTGCCAACGACGTACCCATCGGTCGAAGGCTCCGCTCTCAGCGCCGTCTCCGAGCCAGCGCTCGACGCTCAGTCTTTGCCGACGACCGCGGGCGCCGGTGGCGACGACGCAAGCCTCGGTGTGCATGCCCCTGTCGTTGAGCGCTCTGCAGACGACGACGTTCTCGAGGTCACGGATCTGGACGATGAAGAGTCAGTTCCGACCGACATACCCATGTCGCAGCCCCTTCTGGCTGGCCCCATGACCCCAATTGTTACTGCTGCGCCGGAATCCGGAGCAACGATCGGCGACAGTGCAGTTGCTGACGACCCGGTACACCAAGCCGACGACGACGACCATGGTCGAGCGATCCTTGTCGTGGCGCCCGCCGAGTCGGCGATTGTCGAAGACGCGCCGCCAGCAACCGTTCAGGGTGCTACACCCATCGAAAACGATGGGCAACGCAGCTACAATGACGACACGACGACGACAAAGACGGCGCTGGTGACGCCGGCGCGGCCCGTGTCGAGCGGCAGGTACCTCCACCACGCCGTCTTGGACCGCACTCGAGGCAACTTGACCAGATCCTCGTTGGACGACACGAGCATGCCGCAGTGCGCCATCGAGCTCCTTCCGGCCGTCGACGCCGACGTGCTCCTCGTGACGCCTGCCGCGCCGATCCTTGTCGACGCCAAAGGCCTTGGCAGCTGCGCGCCGCCAGTCGCCGACCATGCGTCGCCGCTGCTTATCGTCCTCTGGGCCATTGTGCTCAGTATCATTGCGCTCCTCTGGCGACGCAATCTCCTCGCGGCCGCGCAGCTCGAAGTGTGCGCCGCCGAGATCGCCCGCCTCCACGCCGCGCAAGCAGCGGCGACGCAGGAGGCCTGCGCCGACAAGGAGGCGCTTGCGATCGCACTGCAAGAGCCCACAACGTTGCGGCACCAGCTCGCCGAGGCCACCGCGCGCCTGGCTTCGCTCCAAGACGAGACCGACGCGCTCGACAGCAGTCGCCGCGCTGAAATGAACGTGCTGCGCCAGCAAATTGCCAGCTACGAGGCCCTCGTCGCTGAGAAGGACCGCCAGCTTGCTGCACAAACCGCCCTCGCGTCTGTACCCGAAGAAGAGAGCGTGGCCATGCCTGCATCTCTCGACGAAGTCGACAGTGGCGCCGCCTTGCCCGCGACGATGGTTCGTCAGAGCAGCAGCCTGCTGGACACTGTTATTAGCAACCAGGTATGAGTCGGAGCCATTCGCATCACAGTCGAAGTATAATGGCGTAGGAGGCAAACACGCGGCCAAAGCACAGCCGGTTCGGGTCGGCCGCACGCACCATCGCCCTTGGCTGGAGTCTGATGCACATGCCAAAGGCGTCGACGACGGCGCCTGCCCCAGGTTCCGACCTCGCGACCGCAGCCTAGTCGCTCACGCGCCTTGCTCTCTGTACGTAGCTTCGTAGCACCAAGGCTCCATTGTTATCATCATAAACCCCATGCATTCACCACTTATCTCGCTGCTTACACGAGAATGTCTTCGGACGAGTTGGACTCCTTGGCAAAGCGCTTGAATTTGCCTTTGCTAGAAGGACCAGCATACTATGAGACATGGGACCGATTCGATGGACGTACAAGTGGCAAAAAGCAACAGCGGTAAGCAGGAGCGCAATGCTGAGCACCGACTGGGGCGTCGAGAGCATGTCAAGCCACGTTATCACGTCGTCGCCGACCGGCTCTTCGGCGTGCGAGAGGATACTGAGGAGCGGCACCGCGATCGCCGAGAGGAGGTTGCCGCAGAGCTGCTGGAGCGCGGCGACGGTCGCCTCGGTCGTTGGGTGCGCACACTCGACGCCGAGCTCGAGCGAAATCGGCTGCAGCGGCCCGAGGAAGAGCCCGGCGGCCATGAGGCACACGAGCGTCCAGACCACGTGGTTGGGCAAGACGTCCGACGCTGTGAGAACGAGTTCAAAGAGGAGGAGCGCGATGGCAGTGAGGACGAGGCAGACGGTCAGCGCCTTCTTGTGCGCCTTGGTCGCGTCGACGTACGCCGAGAGGCACTGGCCGCCAAAGAGCGCGCTCACGATAAAGGCCGCGCCAATCAGCCCTTCTTGGGTCTACGAGCAACCATGAGGAGGCGGCTCCGACGAGTATGTAGGAGGATGCCAACCTTGGAGAAGCCGTCGACGTTGAGGATGTGCGTCAGCATCGACGAGAGCACGTTGATGACGGTCTCGGCGATCGAGAAGACGAGCACGGTCAAGCCAAAGCCGTCGTGGTGGAAGGCCGCGACCCACTGCTTGGCGTCGTACGACGTCGATGAGGCGACAAAGAGCGGCGAGCGCTGGAAGAAGCAGCACGCGAGCGCTGTTGAGAGCAGCGCGAGAAGCGCAATGACGCCTGACCACGGCGCCACGTCGTCGGGCGAGTGCACGAGGAACGGCGTGAGCAGGTACCTACGCACCCCCGCACATGAGCACTGCATCGACGAGGCAAGGAGCGTACACGACGGCAATGCCGAGCTGGTTGCAGTTGACAGCGATCGACGTTGCAGCCGCGCGCTGGGACGGCGGGAACCACAGCGCCGAGAGCATCGGTGGCGAGTTGACCTAATACAAAGGCGGATGAGAATAAGAATAGGGCGGACGACGATACCATAAAGGGCATGGCCATGGCGGCGAGCGTCTGCCCGAGGACAAGGAAGAGCACTTGGAACGACGAGTCGACGTGCCCGGCCGTCGCGAGGTACCGGATGGACGCGCCGACCGCTTGGAGGATGGCGCCGAGAAGCACGCCATAGCGGAGGCCCTTCTTGTCCATGACCCACGAGCCCACGAACGCGAACGGGAGGTAGACGATAAAGTAGATGGTGATGAGCGTCGTCGACTCGACCTACGCGTCGCATGAGCATACGAGATGACCATGACGGCGGAAGCATGCATACGCCATAGTCCCAGGACGCTTCGGCCATCTTGGCGATCGGTGCGTACGAGTAGCAAATCGCTTGGTTCAAGCCCGAGAGGAGCGAGAGGAGGCCGACCATGACCCATTTCACGTGGCGAGGCTATATCGTGCATGAGCCTTGCTTCATTGAAGTTGCATGTCCTACCTGGTCGCCGGGCGACGCCATTGCGTCGTTCTCTTCAAAGGTGCCATACGCTACGAGGCTGCATGAGACGCATGGTCATGGCGGCGACGTACCAGGAAGGTGAGGCGAAGGCTCTTTGGGCAGCATTGTCGTATCCACGGAGGCATGATCAGTCTGGTGCGGGGCCATGCGATGAGTGCTGTTGCCGAAGTGTCAAAATCTAAACTGGGGCAACGTCAAGGTCGGTATACGAAAACGCAAGTTGGATTCTTTTTTGAGACTCGGGCCCCCAACCCCCGCGTGTCGCAAGTGATGTGGCGCGCCGTCGAGCAGCCAAGGAGAAGATTTTGCCACTGTCCGGAGGAAGCAGCGTGCCAACGCCACGCAGGCGCAACGGGGCAGATTGCTCTCTATACCGTGCGCGTCTTGTAGCGAATCCTGTCCAGGAACAGAGTTGCGGCGGCGACGCCACGGCCGCAGAGAAGAGACGCCGGTTCGACCGGAAACGGTTCTCGCGCAGGTGCTGCAGATATGCAGTAGCGTACTCTCGTCCGATGGCCTTTGCCCGGAGCAGCAACGAGCGAGATGCAGGACACTGGTTGCAGGAGGGTTTGCGATGGAGGACGTGGTGAGCCTCAGGACGTGGTCGTCCTCGCGCTCGAGCGCACGACGGCGCCCGGATCGGCAGGTGGTAGCATTTCAGCCAATCACCGTCGCCCAAGTCGACAAAAAGATTCAAGGATGAGCGGCTGGTCGCGCCACGTCACGTGCCCGCCTGTCTCAAGCGGCGTCCTGTGCAGCACACCGGGCCGACCACGAGTGATCCTGGCCACCGCTGGATCGACGCCAGCGCTCCGTAGTACGATACGTCTATGAAAAAGGATGCTGGACCTTCGGCCGTCGGCTCCACGCAGCCTTGAAGGTTGGACCGACAGTCCGTCCCACGGCCGTGACGCTGACCCGTTGCATATGATAGGCCTCTTTGTTTCGCAATGTCTTTAGCACCAACCGTTCGTTGCCGTCAACGCTGTGGTCCATCCCGACAGGCACATCCCCTTCGTCTTCCTTTGTATGCGAGCGAATGCGTTCTCTTTGGAAGCGCTCGACATCCCACTTCACGTACGAGTACGATGCAAGCGCAGTGCTTGGCCGTCGCTCGCTCGTGGAGAGGACGACGTGCAGCCTTCTCAGTCCGCTCCTTCCACAGCAATGATACCACGTTTGTTTACACACGACGCCAACGACGACTAGATGCCGAGATGCGGAGGGAGCGGCGGCACGGACGCGTACTGCGACCGCTTCCACGCGCCGCGACTACGCAAGGTTGTGTGCAGAGCATGATAAAGAGAGAACACGTACTACTGCGTGAAGATGACGCCGGCGACGAGCAAGAGCAGGGACACGACCCCCACGGGCGTCGCGAGAAGCTGCCACCACTCTCCCAGAACAGTGGGGCCGTCGTGGCTACTACTGTCGTCATCGTCGTCGTCGTCAGCATCGATCAACACCGTGTTGCCATCAAGCCAGTGTTGCAAGAGGCTCAGGAGCGGAAGCAACAGTGCCGACAAGGCATTCCCGACCAGTTGCTGGAGCGCTGCGACCGTCGCTTCGGACGTGGGGTGCGCGCACTCGGCGCCTAATCCCATGCGTCAGTCTCAATTTCGATCTTTTGAGCGCACCAAGCTCAACCGCTATCGGATGCAACGGGCCGAGGAAGAAGCCAAACGCGACGAGCAGCGCGAACGAGCCGGACACGTGCCACGTCACATCCACCGCCGCGACAACGTACCCAAATGCGAGCAAGACGCCGCCTATGCGCCCGCGGCTAAGGCGACGCAAAGAAGCAACACGCACCCGCGACGAGGCTGCAGACGACGATCGCGGTCTTGTGCGACCCCGACGCGTCGACGCACGACCCGACGAGGAAGCCGCCGAGGACCGAGCTCAGAATGAACGCCGCGCCCATGGCTCCTTGGGTGGTCTAGACACATGTGAGCCCACCTCGCTTGGAGAAGATGTGGTCAAGTACGCGTGCAAAGCCGTGCTGGGGCGACGCCAAGCGGTTGAGGAGCGCGGCGACGACGTTCCCGGCCGTCTCGGCCACCGCAAAGACAAACACCGTGAGGCTAAAGCCAGGGTGGTGGAATGCAGTGACCCACTGCCGATAGTCGTAGGCGCCGGACGCGCTGGGGATCACTGGCGGGTACTTGGGTACGCTAAAGCACACCCACGCCAGCAAAAACAAGGCGGTGGCAGCGACCGCAAAGAGGAGATCCCACTTTGGCAGGTCCGACGGTCCCGCGACGAGGTACGGCGCGGCCAAGTACCTGGACGCAGGTTTAGAAATACCTAACTTGATCGAGGAATTTGTACACGAAAACAATCCCGAGCTGGTTGCTGTTGACACCCATGGACGTCACGCGGGCGCGGAGGTGGGGCGGGAACCACAGCGCCGAGAGCACGGGGGGCGAGTTGACCTATCATGGGTTAGTCGACGGTGACCACATCGTCGTATCGAGGGACCATAAAGGGCATGCCGATCGCAGCCATGACTTGGCCACAAATCAAAAAGACTTTGGCGATGGGAAACGCCATGGTCATGTTGGACGAGATCGCACGGAGGATGGCGCCGACCGCTTGGACAAATGCACCGAGGAGCACCTAAGGCGATGTTGCTGCAAGGAGACATGGACTGCGTGTCGTACGCCGACGCGCCACCCGCGGAGGTCCAAGATCCATGAGCCGAGAAACGCGAACGGGAGGTACACGACAAAGAAGATGGTGATGAGCGTCGACGAGCGAACCTAGTGTATTGATAGATCGGTAGATTCGCCGTGGTGACGTACCTCGTGCTGCCACGCCGTGTCGGCGATGCGAGAGATCGGCGCGTACGAAAAGCAAAGCGCTTGGTTCATGGCCGACAAGAGGCACTGCAGCAACAGCAGCAGCCACTTGTACGACGACGCCTACTCAGAGGTGTCAGTGGAGGCGTGGAGGAAGAGAGCAGTACATGGACGACGTCGTTGCGCAAAGACGATGTGTCGGAGACCAGGCTATCCTTCATGCAGCTTTTCGGCGAGCAAGCCTGGCACAAGTCGGAGGCGTAACGCACGCGACCTTTCGTTAGAACGAGCTGCCGAAGAAGAGAACGTCTGTCCCTTTAACTACCAAACGCGCCAATGCCACCGCATCAAAAACATCTTGGGGCGCGAATCTCGACAAAATCCTGGGCTGCTGAGCTGCAGAAATGTGCCAGTCGTATCATCAAGCTCCGTGCCGGTTGCCGACAAGAGCACCGCTCGCAACGGGAGTTGCAATGGGTGGCGCTCTCATCCAGAAGTATCTTGGCTTCGCAGACGTGCATGCACTAGTGCGATGACGTGACATGGCTCATAGCGCAGGCAGCATCGTGGTCTGCCATGAGCGAGCAAGCGGTGGGTTCGATATTTCGCGTTCGCTAAAAATAGATTTTCGAATCACAGCCAAAAGACGCACCCGATCCTTGAATCGGTGCATTTACCTTTTATACTCGATGCCAATAAACCTTTATTACATAGTACCCCATCAAAATCGATATTCTGTTTCTTCCAACATTGCATATCTCGCGTCGAGCAATTCGAGGTCACCGCAGCAGCAAGCCGCAGCATGTCCAACATCTACATCACGGAGCCCGACACGGAGGGCAAGGTGCTCATGCGCACGTCCTTTGGCGACATCGACATTGAGTTCTGGCCCAAGCAGGCGCCCAAGGCGGTGCGCAACTTCATCCAGCTCGCCATGGAGCATGTACGTTCTCCATCAAGCCGCCGGGCCTTCTGTGGCTCATGCTGTTCGCCTTCTAGTACTATGACAACACGCTCTTCCACCGCATCATTGCCAACTTTATGATCCAAGGTGGCGACCCGACGGGCACGGGCGACGGCGGCGAGTCGATTTACGGCGAGCCGTTTGCCGACGAGTTCCATTCGCGCCTGCGCTTCAACCACCGTGGCCTCCTCGCGATGGCCAACTCGAACAAGGTCAATACGAACAAGAGTCAGTTCTTCTTCACGCTCGACAACTGCGACTTTCTCGACAAGAAGCACACGATCTTTGGCAAGGTCACCGGCAACACCATCTTCAACCTCCTCACAGTCAACGACATTGAGACGGGCGGGAACGAGCGCCCGCTCGAGCCCGTCAAGCTCCTTGGCATTGACATCCTCTGGAACCCCTTCCCTGATATCGTACCGCGGTACTCTCTAGCCTCTATCTTCGTCACAACGATTCGCTCATGGCCAAAATGGATCTGTAGTGCGATCAAGGCGCCAACGACGACGACGTCGGACGCGACCGACAAGCCCAAGAAGAACAAGCGCAAGGCAACTAAAGACTTGAAGCTTCTCTCGTTTGGCGACGAAGCCGAAGACGCGTTCATCGCGGCGCCCAAGAAGAAGGGCCCTATGAGCAGCCACGACGTGCTCACGAACGACAAGAAACTCAGCAAGCGCGTGGACCAGTCGCTTCAAACCAAGATCGCACTCGTGCGTCCAGAAGACCAGCAGACGGCATCTTCATCGACCGCACATGACGACGCGCTGGCTGCCGCGTCCGGCGACGTCTCGTCGCTAAAAGCGCTCATCGCCAACAAGCTCAAGAAGAAGCCGACCAACGTTCAATCCACGGCCGTGCCCAAGGCTGCGCTCGAGTCGCTCGAGGACGAGACGGATCTCTCTGCGATCGAAACCAAGGCGCAAAAGCGCGCGCGCAAGGCCAAAGAAAAGGCCAAGTACGTGGTTTGTATCAATGTATCAAGCTGGATCTGGTTTGGCATAGGGACGAGTACACGGCGCTCAAGGACGAGCTCAAGAAGGCCAATAAGGCCGTGCACGTCGTCACAGGTGCCAAAGCCCAAAAGCTCGACGACGAGAAGGCCTTCCATGAGATGCTAACGCCGCTCCAACTGCGCCGGCAAAAGTACCTCGCGCAAAAGAAATCGATCGGCGACCGCCAAGCCAAGACGCTCGAGCGCCTTGAAAAGTTCCGCAACACGCTCATGCACGTGCACACCGTCTCCAAGACCAAGACCACCAAGAATGCCGAGACGTACCACGGCCAAGTGCTCAGCGAAGACAGCGACGCGCCCGACGACGACGACAACGACCCGACGAGCTGGATGACGGCAAAACTCAAGTTCAAAAAGCACATTGATGTACGCCTTGAGATCATTGCATCGACTCATATGTGTGTAGGACCAATACCGCATGGGGTACGACCCCAACACCGATGTAAGACGCCGCGAGATCTGGCGGAATCCGAGTCTCATTCTTCTTCTATATATCTAGAACTACATGACGATCGACACCAAGATTGAAGGCAACAAGAGATAGACGTCCTGTCGCTCTGCGTGTCGACTTGACAATTTGAAACTATGTACTTGGTTGTTATTGGAAGCGGACGTGCGCGACCTCTGGAGGATGCAAAGTACAACAAAAACACCAAGTAGACAAAAACAAATGTCATTATAAATAGTGGCTTAGTAAATAGTATGGTCAATATTGTTGTCATGTATAGGGTCAAATTCGTCAGTGGCTTATCGTGAAGACTAGTCGTGTCCTAAGGGGTCCTAAGGGTGGGGTGGCAAAGCACGCGTTTTACGGCGTCTTGGGCAAGCTGGCCGAGAGCGCTTCCGTGTTGGCCTCGGGGGCGACCACCGCTTCGGGGCGGACCCACGTCTTGTTTTGGAACCGGGGGCGGGGGTACCCCCCAAAAAAGTTGCCCTGCGGCGCACCGTGGAACCCGGGTGCCGGCATCGGCGCAGGCGTCGGCGCGGGTGTCGGCTCGGCGTTTGTCGTGGAATCCGGCGTAGCTTCTTGTACAAGCTCGGCGCCATCTTCTGTGGCAGCGGCGTCGGTCGTGGCGGCTACCGTCGCCGGGTTGACCCACTTGCGGTTCGTGAACGGGCGCGGCGCGCCACCGTGCGGGCCGCGAGGCATGTACGGGCCACGCATACCAAAGGGGGGCATGCCGTAGCCGGGGGGACCACCCATGTGGTGCGGCGGCGGGTAATACATAAAGTCCTACAGAAGTCGAGTCATGAGCCGTCGTACAACGAGGTGAGGAGGATGCATACCGGAGGAGGCATGCCGTACGGGAAGCCACCGCCGTACATGTGCGGGGGACCGCGCATGTAGCCGCCCGGAGGGAAGCCACGCGGCGGGCCTTGCCGCTGGTCGTCGTACTGGGGCTTCTTCGATCGGGGCTCGCCGTCGTTGCTGTCATCGTTGGGTCGCTTCCGGTTGTTGTCGCGGTTGTCCATGCCGCGGCGGTTGTCATCACGGCGGTTGTCATCACCACGGCGGTTGTTGTTGTCGCGGCGGTTGACATCCCGGCGATCGTCGTCGCGACGGTCGTCTTTGCGCGGCCCTTGCTGCCTGGTGTCCTGCGACTTGCCGAGGCGGTCCGTGATCGACGCCTTCGATCCGTTCGACGGCTGGTTCTGCGAAGAGCGTTCCTTCTGGGGAATGCCGAAGCGCTCCGAACGCCGGCGCATGGCCTCTTCGAGCTCCTTGTCCGACTTCTTGCCGATAATTCGCACCGTGCCCTTGGCTTCGGCAGCGGGCGCCGGGCGGGAAAGGCTGATGACGCGCTTGGGAGCTTCCTCCGTCGGCGTGGTGGACGCGGGCTCTGGCGCCGGGGTGGTGACCTCGGGTGCGACCGCTTCAGGTGCCGGAGTCGCCTACAGCATGCGTCAATACCGGCGACAAGGCAGCATTGTGGCTCGTACCGGCTGGCCGGTCAAAAGCGCGTACAGCCACAGGACAAAGGTCTCGGCGCCGTCGCCGCCCATAAAGTCGTCCAAGTCGGTGCGGATCTGACCCATGCTCTTCGAGTTGTAGACCATGACGACGACGTATTCCTACGCGGCCAGAATGAGCCTCTCGCTCCTGGACAATGGTCTGCCTACCGCCATGACGCTTTCGACCTCGACGCCCAGCACTTCCGTGAGCTTGGCCTGGACCTTGGCTTCGATAGCGGCCTTCTCGCTGGCGTCGGGCTTGCCTACGTACTGGGGGTCGTATCCTGCCATGGCGCTTGGACGGTCGGTGGGTGGTCTCGGCTGTAGTTTCGCGTCTGCGACTGTACCACCTCCGGCAATTCCGAATCCTCAAATCCGGAGCCGCAAACCCCTGCGGCTAAATTGCACTTGATGTTTGTATACTCTCGGACCGGCTGGCGGGATCCATTTTAATGTTGGCTTGTCGCGATTTTAATTACCTTTATTAAATTGTATATACTACTTTTGTATGCTGTCAAGAATATTAAAAAAGATTGTCCACCACCCCATGGCCGTCGTCACCAGTCCGGATAACCTGCTGCTGCTACTGACGACGGGCTCAAGTGAACCAGCTTCTGCGTCGCTTCTGCCGCCGTAGACCCCAGTGTTGACAGCTACTATGGCTTGTGCCTAGTAGAAAAAGCTGCTGATGTGTAGTCATTGCCCCGAGGAGGCAGTCGCCAACGCTGAACGTTAAAAACACTACAAGCCAGCTCTGGCAAAGTCCTGAACGCTAAAACTGACGCGATACACTCATTTAGCGCACCGCGGGTAGGCAGTCGCGAGTCGAGTCGAGTCTGGCTCTGTCTATGACGCCCGAGCGGCTCTGCGCCGTTGGTGCTCGATCAGTAAGGTCGTCGCCAAGCTCTCAGCCGCTGCTCCGAGACCACAGCCAACGCGAGGCGCGTGGCGAGCTTCATTGTTGATTTCCTCTACTGTTGCCTCGACGGACATTAGTCAATACTTGTCCTTGGGGACTGCGCTTTCCACGTCCACGAGGCCTGTTGTCCGACGACGCGGAACTCGCCGCCATCCACGCGAGCATGACGTGGCAGCGTCTAACGTCGTATTTATCCGGATGCCTGGCGATTGGTGCAAAGTCGCTACGAAGTGATTGGTGGCGGGCGCTTGGGGCCAGGCCGCGGGGCCTGTAGTATTTTCGAATCGATTGGGTTCAGGTTACCGCCGCATTCGCTCCTCGATCCAGATCTAAATACAATGTCTGTGCAAAAGCCCACCAAGCAAGCTGCCTTCGAAGGCGAGGAGTCGCGCATCCACCGCATCCGCATCACGCTCTCGTCGCTCAACGTCAAGAACCTCGAGAAGGTCTGCGCCGACTTGAAGAAGGGCGCCGTCGACAAGAACCTCAAGGTCTCGGGCCCGGTCCGTCTTCCCACCAAGATCCTCCGCCTCACGACGCGCAAGTCGCCGTGCGGTGAGGGTACCAACACCTGGGACCGCTTCGAGATGCGCATCCACAAGCGCATCATCGACCTCTACTCGCCGTCGGAGATCGTCAAGCAGATCACGTCGATCTCGATCGAACCCGGTGTAGAGGTCGAAGTCACGATCGCCGACTCGAACTAAATGGCTCGACCATGTATCCTTGGATAACACGAGACGTTGCGCCTGCGAAAGCAAGCGTGGGGCATTTGCACCGATATTCAATTCCTGTCTTGTCTCTTCCCCGACGCAGTGAAAAAGCCTACATCCTGCAGCAGGACGATCCTAAATCCTACCAGGAAAAAGTCTGAAGTGTCAACCCGTGCGACGAGTTAACGAGCTTCTTGCCCGGGCAACGCGTTGATGCGCGAGTGAGCTGCTTGGGAAGCAAAAATAGTGTAAATCAGGTCTATTGATTAAGCAGAGAACGGCGGCCGCAGCATCTCAAGAAGTTGCGACGTCGTTGTGTAGTCGTTGTTGCCCATGCGGCCAAGCGTTGGTGCGCGGCTGCCGTCAATGGCGTCGCCCTCCGAAAAAAGCGCTTGGTTGACTTGAAACTCGATCACATTTAACAGCATGGTCTTGCCGTTGCCGATCTCGAGGACGTCGCGGAGCGTGCATTCCATGCGGATCGGCGACCCGGCAACGCCCGGCACCTGCACCTGCGTGCTTTGGATCGTTGGGATCTCGAGTTTCTCGATCTCGCTCACGCCGTGCGGGTAGTCTTTTGACGTGGCGTTCATGAGCTCGGCCATGTGTGCCGGTACAAAGTTGACGACGCATTCGTTCGTCGCACGCAGATTGAGCAGCGTATCCTTGTCGCTGCCAGGCTTGGGGTATACTTGTGTGATCGCTAGGATCGGCGGGTCGATGCTCATGACGTTGAAGAACGAAAACGGCGCGAGGTTCGTGACGCCCGCCGCGCTCCGCGTGCTCACCTAATGTGCATGCTGCATGAAGCGACTCCCGAGGATGGTCACCGAACGTACCCAGGCGATCGGGCGCGGGACGACAGCGCTCGTGAGGAGGTGGTAGAGCTGCCGCGGGGCCGTCGACGACGGAGCGAACGATCGAAACGCCATCTTGTCTGCGATTTTGGTTGTGTGCCATGTGGATGGCATGGCGACGGACAGGCGAAGAGCGATGAAGTCCCAAATTGCAAACAAACGCAAAAACGGCTCACCATACGGCGGTCGCGCTTTTCTCGCTACACTATAAATTAGGTGTACCGCGCTGGGGTACCTTGGGGTACCGTGGTCGAATTACTGCGTATCCTTGGTGCAGCATGAACATGATGGACATGTCGACAAAGGTCGGAAAGCTTCCGGTAACGTTACGATATCGCGATCCCATAATCCGTCGACGATGTCCCACCAAGCGATGGGCGATTCATGCGTCAGGTCTGCGTCAGGTCGGTTACAAAGGGCAGCACCACCGACCCCTTCCTCGCAGTAGCGTCTCTAGCCACCTCGTTGCTTGAGCAAGCGCTTCTGCAGTCCCACCGGTGTCGGGATAGGCGGGTATCTACTATCCCGTCAACTTTGCCTCTCTAGCATTATCGCATCATCGCATGCTACTTCTCCGAACGTCGGCTTGAACGCTAATACTGCCAGAGCTATCTGCCAGCTGCGTACTTGGGTCGAAGCTCGACTTGGCTGCTCTTGCCGGAAGGTCTCCTCCTGAACGAAGGGCAACTTGGCGTCGGCCGGATCTTTCCGGATAATACAATGGTATCCGGTTGAAAGCGTTTTCCCGCCGACGCGAGAGAGCAGAGAGCGATGGCCGAGAAGCTGGCGACGGAGCTTCAGATCCCGGGGATCGTACGAAGATGGCATCGGCGTTGGAAAGTTGACGGAGCGTATGTGTGCATGTAGAGCCCCCTCCAGCTGCAGGACATGACCTGGAAGACGAAGGAGAAGGTGCTGCTGCTGCTCCTCGAGAAGGTACACGTACAGCAACGACGTCCACGAAGAGACCCATCATGTGCTTGTAGAACGCGTCGTCCGAGCCGATCTACGACGAGCTCAAGAACCTTGCCGCCGACCGCAGGCAGGAGCGCGCCTTTGAGAAGACGGACGGCGCCATGTACGCGTGCCCGCCCGAGAGGATCCATCATGCAAGATCTGCATAGGTCGAAAGACGCGCTGCGCAAGAAGGAAGACTCGTACCGCGCCAGCTTTATGAAGGTCGTTGCCAAGGAGCTGGCGGTAGGACGCAGTGACGATGTATGCGCTGATGGACCCGTAGCGCATGGGCGCACCGTCACTCGTGACGTGGCAGCGCCTCGTCCTCGATAAGGACTGCACGTACCAAGCCATTCGCATCTTGCTCACAAAGATCAAGTCGTCACAGAAGAAGCGATCGGGCAGCGCTTTGTTGCCGCTCTTGGAACCGAAGACGCGGCCATCGACGATGGACGACAAGCCGATGTGGATCTCGACCTCCGAGCCCGAGACCAAGGCCGTGACGCCTCCACGGAGCGCGACCTTGATCCCGACAAAGCCCGCCAAAGCTGTCGTTAAACGCCCGGCGTCGCCCAAGCCTCCCGCATCCAACCAGGTCGAGGAGGTCGCCCCCGACATGGTTGTGCAGCGTGTGACGACGGCGCCAAAGCCGGCCAAGCTCAAAGTCGACCCCAAAGTACACCTCGGAGATGCTCTGCCGTGTCCTAATATCGTATGTCCTAGCTGCAAGCAGCGCTACTCGAGAACGAAGCGTTGCGCAAAGAGATTGATCATCTCGAAGGACTCACTGCGACGCTCCTCCAAAGTTCCGACGAGCCTCTGCAAGGTCTACATATGCCGATTTGACGCAGCGACAACATGAACCAAGTAGGCCCGAGCGCCGACCGCCGCGTCCGCTTCTTGAAGGCCCAGAACCACCAACTGCAGCGTCAAGTACGCGGAGATAGATGTGCACACTAGGATGCTGCATTGTAGGTGGACATGCTCCTCGACGCCGTTGCCGCACGAGAATCTGCAGCTACCGACCTGCAAGCACTGCTACATGCGCTGAATCAAGCTGTGGAAGCGGGCCTCGCCGACGCCAAGGAGGCTGGTGCTGACCAGACCAAGAAAAAGTGGATGCTGGCTGTTCCCAGAGATCTCCAGCAGGTACAATGCAATGTGTTGCTGTAAACCAAGGATTTGATGGCTGGGAATAGACTATCAAGCAAACCGAGCGCCAGCTACTCGGCCTCAACCGCTCGTTGGGCGCGAGCATGGAGCAGAAGCTGCGCCACTCGGACGATGGACTCCTGGATGACAACTACACGGTGCTTCGTGTCCGCGATGTACACAATCAGCACAGTTGTCATGGCCCGCTCCGTACGGTACCCTGTGGAAACTCGAACTAAAGTGTCGTGTAGACATGCCCAACGTCCAGCACTTGCGTTTCGACCGCTTGCAGCAGATTGAGAGCCATCTCGCGCAGCTCACGTCACAACTGCTCGGTTTTGCCAAAGACGCGACCGAAGCGACGCCTCCATTGATCAGCGACGCCGCGACCATGCGTCTGCACGACCAAGTACGCGTTTCTATGTATTTTCGCTCAAATGGTCATTAGGCCCGGGATCTCGCACGACACACACGAGCCTTGGCGACAGAAACGGCATCGCTGGGTGCCGTCGTCTGTGTGCACGCTGTCGGTCCTGGCTTTGAGTACATTCGATGCTTGCTCGTTTGAGTCGATACGACGATGTATCTAGGCACCATCATCCTTCACGACCTACGGTGGCAGCCATCGTGGCGGAGCTGCCGCCGTTCCCAAGCGCCCACAAAGAGCGAGAAAAGGGCGTGCGTCTGCAGCTTCAACGTCTCGATGCCCACCTCGTACGCAACCTCGCTATCTGCCACGTATGTGAGCGAAAACGACATGCGTAGAGCGGCGTTGAAGCGCGGCTCGAGCAAGGTCTTGGCGAACTAGCGTCATTGCAGCAGGTAGATGTCGTGTTTGGCTGGACACCCAAGTTACTTTGTGGCGTAGAACGTGCGTGGTCAAGCCTCTGCGTGGCGAACCATGCTTCAGAACGTGGACACGGTTTTTACCAAGAAGGTCCAGTGGGCTCAAGAGGTAGAGCATTGCCACCATGTCGAACTCAAAGAGCTGGGCTACATAGGCGCTCACGGCCGCCCTGGATGGTATCGTCCAAGTGTTTGATGCCTTCAAAGCGCAGCAAGTCCACGGTGGCATCAACCCGTACGGCAATCTCCTGGTCGAGACGTTCGAGACACAGCGGTCCGCACTCGTCCAGGTCCGGCAAAGCTACACGCAGTACGCTGCGACAGCACGCGCCAAGCTTGACGCGTCTCTGGCCGACATGACGCGCGCGATCGAAAGTGTGACTGTCTCGAGCTAACACCAAACTCGTCTTGCGCAAGCAACGGCCGCTGCCTCCGTCATGTGTGTGGCGGTAAGAGTGTACCTTGATGTATGAGCATAATATTATGGCTATCGTTACACAGAAAGGGACGGGGTCGCGCTTCGGTCACGGTGCTGACTCATCTCGGCGTCGGACGTCCAGAGGAAAATCGGGCTGTTGTCAGGCGAGAGCAGCACCATGTCGTTGTCATGGCTCACCGACGTTGCCGTCGATGGCAGCGGCCACTGGATCCACACCTTGTTCCAGATGGTGAGCTGGTAGCCGCGGAAGAACCGGTCTTTGGAGTTGGTGCGCACAAAGAGCATGAGGACGCAGCCTGCGATCGCCACGCCCCAGAGGACGCGAAGTTGGCAGTAGAAGACGCTCTGCATGCCTCCAAA